CGGGGGAACTAACGGTTTAGGACTCACAGGCAGTGGGGGAGCAAAGCGCTTCGACTTCCCCGGGTGCGACACCATGAAGTGTCTGTAGCACGTGGTTAGCTCACATTGGTTCCAAGGGTCAGCAGATCCTCTGCCCTTGTGCATTAAAACAACATGAAAGAAACTGTGTTAGAGATCAGTTACTTCCATAATTCATTTGTAAAGGAATTACTATTATGTTCTAGTATGGTCTTTGGATATTTTTCATGTCTTTAAATTTAGGTCATGGTACATACAGTAGAAAATTTACAGCCATCCCACATAATCCACACCATCTCTCAAAGGTAACATTAGCTCTCATACAAAATTATGGAAAACCTCACAACATCCTTGGAAGGTATATCCTTACAAAAATTTAATATACTCATTAACATTCCTATTTCAAATAGCTCAATCAATATCAACACATAAGACAGTCCACTATTGTAATACAGTATTAAGAAGAAACTTAGGCTGGCCACAGAGGCTCATGCCTGTAACCCCAACACTTTGGGAGGCTGAGGTGGGCAGATTATTTGAGGCCAGGAGTTCAAGACTAGCCTGGGCAACACGGTGAGACCCGGTCTCTACCAAAAGTACAAAAATTAGCTGAGTGTGGTGGTGCATGCCTGTAGTCTCAGCTAGTTGGGAGGCTTAGACTGCAGGATCTCTCGTTGCTTGAGCCCAGGAGGTTGAGGCTGCAAGTGAGCCATGATTGCGCCACTGCACTCAGCCTGGGCAACAGATCAAGGCTTTGTCTCAAAAAAAAAAAAAAAAAAAGGAAACTTGCATCCAGTTTCTTCAAAGTGCAAAAACCTGTGTATCTTCACAACGCTGGTCGGGAGCAGACTATCTACAGCTGGGGCGAGGGAGAGGCGCAGTCTCGTGTTATTTTACAAGCTTTCAGAAATTTAAAGCCTACAATGTTCCTTCAGGCTCTTCTGAGTCCACGGTCCTAATGGGTCAGGAGTCCCAACCCTGGGCTCATTCTCAGAACCATTCAGTCGTGCAGCCTTGGAGAACACAGTCCTTTTCCTGAGATGGCCCAGGTCCAGGAGTTGGTTTCAGATCAAAATTGTCCTCCTTTATCAGCACTTATATCCCAAATCATTCTCTTTGTCTAACCTCTGGATATAGAGGTTTTTTGAACTATACTTTCTGTGTGAACACAAAAATAGTTTCCAATTCTCTAAAAGATGAGGTATCACTATATGTCGTTTTTTTCCTTCTGTTCCTGGTGCTAACTTTTAGGACAAAGTTTCACCACTCCCTTTTCTTTTTCCTTCTTGAGCTCACAAGTCCCAATGCTGAGGCTCTGAGTCCTTAGATGGCCAACTTCTTTCACAAATCTTGAGTGTCCCAGAGTTTCCAAAACTCTGCTAGAGTCCAACATGCCTCCTTTCAGTGGCGTATGCTTTAAAATGAGGACTTTAAAGAAACAGTTCCATTGTGGTCTTACCACCTGGGATTATATATAACAGAAGTACTGCTTTTTTTCCTTAAAACTTTTTTTTTTTTTTTTTGAACACGGAGTTTCACTCTGTCGCCCAGGCTGGAATGCAGTGGTGCAATCTTGACTCACTGCTTCCTCTACCTCCTGGGTTCCAGTGATTCTCCCACCTCAGCCTCCTGAGTAGCTGGGATTATAGGCGCGCCCCACCATGCCTGGCTAATTTTTGTATTTTTAGTAGAGACGGGATTTCACCATGTTGGTCAGGCTGGTCTCGAACTCCTGACCTCGTGATCTGCCTGCCTTGGCCTACCAAAGTGCTGGGATTACAGGTGTGAGCCACCGTGCCCGGCCCTCCTGAAAACATTCTAAACCTCACATTCAATAGGGGGTGGGGAGGTGGGGGGCAGGAAGTAGGAGAATAATAGTGATACAGATGTTACTTGGAAAAACTTTATGTTCTGTCTGTTCCTCATGAAACAAGGCCAAAAAGAAAAACTTTATGTTGATGTGAGATTTGACACCATGTTTCAACTGAGCAAAATTTTGTGTTTTTAAACATTTCTGTTTGCCAAAGGAATCTGGCTGTGGCTGGGCTCAGTGGCTCTCACCTGTAACCTTAGCACTTTGGGAGGCTGAGGTGGGTGGATTGCTTGAGCCCAGGGGTTCAAGAGCAGCCTGGGCAGCATGGCGAAACACCATCTCTGCAAAAACGTACAAAAAAATTAGCTGTGCGTGGTGGCATGCCTATAGTCCCAACTACTTGGGAGGCTGAGGTGGGAGGATTGTTTGAGCCTAGGAGGTCAAAATCTGAGGTCATTTTCTATCTGGACCACTTTGAGAATGGGCCTAACAAAATGTTAAGCACTGCATTTAAAGGTAAAAAATGTTGTCACTGACAAAGTCAGAAGCTGTGTCAAGAACAGCTTAGAATGAGTCACAAAGCATAAGATTAGCTGGCTTATCTGAGCCACGGCAAATGTCTTTTTGGGAGAATGACTTGAGGAATCTAAAGACTGATGAGTTCCTTGTCTCTTTTCTTTTCCTGGTAGTGGTGGTGGGGGTTCACAGGAGAGACACTTCTATTTAGTTCTCTCTCCATAGGAAGTACTGATGCGACACTTCAAACGGTGACCGAAAACATTTGGAAAGCTGGGTACGGTTTGTGCCTGCCTATAATTCCAGCTACTTGGGAGGCTGAGGCAGGAGGATTGCTGGAGCACAGAGTTTGAGTCTGGCCTACATAACATAGTGAGACCCTGTCCTCTAAAAAATATATATATACAAAAATAAAAATAAAAAACACCTGGAGCACTGGTTCTGTCTCTTTTCTACCCTCAGCCCAATTCTGTCACCTTGGCTGCAAGGAAACTTTTCATGGGTTTGGCTGTTTCTTAGATCGTGGCCTCCTGGGTGTATGGTGGAAGGCTGGTGGGAAATGAAGCAGAGGGGCATACGCGGCTTGTGTTCAGTGGGAGTCTGCATGAGAAACTACAGGTCCTGCCTGGCGCTGCTTCAGGGCTTCAGTGGCCAGCAGTGGCAGATGCTTGAACTTAGGAGGCAGAGGTTGCAGTGAGCTGAGATCACGACACTGCACTTCAGCCTGGGCAACAGAGTGAGACTCTGTCTCAAGAAAAAAAAAAATTGGCCTCCTCTGCAAAGACTTGAACACTAATCTGATGGAAAGGCTTCCTTTCCCTAGTTTTCTCTTTTACTAATCCCTGCCTCCAAATTCTCTTTCTCTTGTCCCCTGAAGAACCAACAGGATGTGTGATATTTCAAGAACATAATGAGCAACTCCTCTTTCACAATGGGAATAAGCAATCTGGCATAGCTTGGAGTCTAGTATTATGGAAATACAGTGATATACTGAAGACTACACACCAAAATACATCCATTCCTTTAGCTGAAATCTCAAACATGTTGGGACTGTTGCCATGGAATTTCATAAAACCCTTTTTCCTGAGACAGACGCCATGCCACAAAGAAGGATAAGCCATTTGTGCAGTCTGAGGTGGAGCATTTTAATTACTGGCAGCACACAGACGAGCTGAGTTTGAGCCGAATGCATAAGCCCTTTAGAAATAAAACGCTAATCTACCAGGAATTTGGGATTCTTGGCTCTGGTAGAAATGTTCACAAAGCTGACTCTTAATTTGTAAATAGGCTCCATGAAGTTGTCTCTGGAAGCAGAATTTATTTTCCCTAACATAATTTCTTAAAAAGGAAAAAAAAAAAGGCTTTGGTAAACAGCTGCATTTGCCAATTTGTGTGTACGCTCTGGGGCAAGATCAAAATACCTTTCTGTTTTTTGTTCCTCTCCACCACCTTCTTCACATTCACAACTCAGTGATTAAAGGAAAAACTTAACACACCATTTTCATACCAAAGGAATGTGAAACACGTATTCATATAAATACTCCTCTGCTTAATATCCATACATTAGGAGGTTTAAACAATAACTTGTGGTTACTGCGTAATCACATAATAATTTAAAGCTAGAAGGGACTTAAGAGAACATTTAAATCCAATTCCTATTTTACGAATGAGGAAACGGAGGTTTTTTGGTTTTTTTTGAGACAGGGTCTCACCCTGTCACCCAGACTGGGGTGTAGAAGGGCCATCTCCACTCACTGAAACCTTTGTCTTCCAGATTCTCCTGTCTCAGCCTCCCGAATAGCTGGGATTACAGGCATATGCCACTACTGCCTAGTTAATTTTTGTATTTTTAGTAAAGACAGCATTTCACCATATGGGCCAGGCTGGTCTCAAACTCTTGACCTCAAATGATGTGCCCACCTCAGCCTCTCAAAGTGTTTTGATTACAGGTGTGAGCCACCGAGCCTGGCAGGAAATGAAGTTTCAAGAGTTAAATGAGGCTGGGTGTGGTGGCTCACACCTGTAATCCCAGCACTTAAGGAGGCTGAGGCAGGCTGATTGCTTGAGCCCAGGAGTTCAAGACCAGCAGCATGGGCAACATAGTGAGACCCCATCTCTACAAAAGGTACAAAAATTATCCAGACATGGTGGTGTGTGCCTGTAGTCCCAGTACTCAAGAGGCTGAGGTGGGAGGATCACCTGAGCCTGGGGAGGTCAAGGCTGCAGTGAGCCATGATTGAACCACTGCACTCCAGCCTGGACAACGGAGTGAGATCCTGTCTAAAAAAAAATATTAAACGATTTACTCAAAGTCACATAGCTAATTAGCAAACAGATTTTGTGACTCCCTATTCCAGTGCTAATTTTACAATGATAACAGCATTCCTCCTGATAGTATGTCCACATTGTGAGTGGCAAGGATCACTTACACATCTGCCAAACCATGATCAGACTTTCAGGAATTTTCATGGAATACAGCAGTTCCATTTAAATAGGTAAAAACGGGCCAAAGCCTGCCTGATCAAGGAGAGCCTGTCAGTAGAGGTGTCCCTCTTTACCCCATCCTGAAGCTCAGCTCCGATCTAAACACACATGGCGTCTATCTCCAATTCCTCTCCTGTGGGGAGGGGGAGGCTAAGCCACACTTTTTGGATTTTTTAATGGAAAAAAATCATTGGCAAATTGGCTTTGGGTCTGTATTACCAATTCTCCATGAACTCTTTCAGGAACTTTCAGGTAGCTGTTTTTTTTTCTATTGGTGCTGCCAAACCATTTCCCCCTTTATCATACCCTTGCTCTTCCAACCTTGACCAACGGAAAGGGATGCCATTATCCACAGTGGACAACCTTCCGGAGTTTCAATGATGGTCTATATTTAAAACCATCAGTTCTTCTGGCATAGATTTTCTCCTGTAGACAATTGGTTTAGCCCAAAGCAGCTCAGCTTTTCACTGGAGATGGGAGGGTAAAGGGTAGAAGCAGAAGTGCCATTAGATGACATTTTAAAAAAAGGTTGTGATAGGAAATGAATCTGATGCTTGGAGAATGGGGTCTTCAGTTAACTCATAACAGATACTTAGTTTATGGCCGTTCTTTTTCTTACTCTTAGCCTATCATTTAGATAAGGGAGATTATATCCTAACCCTTCAGCCCATGAAGAAGTACAGAAGGGTGAGGCTCCCAGCAAGGTCAGCTGGTCAGCTCTTCCTCTTTGGGGATTTGCACATATGACTGAAAGGCTTTTCCATATATGGTTGATATATCTTGGAAAGAATGTCTCATGTAGCACATCTCCGGGACCGCTCGTTCTATTGCTGTAGAAGACAATGACCAAATACCTTTTGGCTTTTAAATTCCATAAAATTCAAGTCCCTGATGGGAAAACAAAGGTTTCACAAAAGTAAATAATATGCTGGCTCTGTGAATAATTTCTGAAGGAAGACAGTGTATCTCTGGCTCCCCATGTGAACACAGCTAAAAATGGTATGAAAAGGAGTCTGGAAGTGAGTATGTTTTGAGAGCAATCTGTTAGGTGAGGTTATCGATTTTTAGAAATGATATCGAACACTTAGGGGCATTCTCTGAGACCGGATATTCACTTCAGCAGGGCTCTGTGTTCTCCTCTGGCTATGTGAGACGAGAACTCATACCGATCATGGCTTCGATATCCACACATGTTACACTCGAAAGGGTCACGGAAGCCGTGGCAGCCCATGTGAATGGTGAACATCACATAGTCCAGGAAGAGGATGCGACAGTGGTCACACCGATACACATCCATCACCTCCCCTTCTTTGTTGATCACTTTGATGGAGTCTCTTGGGCAGATGGGCGGGGGCTTGAGGAGTTCATAAGAGCGGGTGGCCTCCTTCAGAAGTGGCATCCCGTTGCGGGCCCGAGGAAGGACCATGTGATTTTGCTGATATATGTGATTCTGGCGTTCTTCATTGATGCTGTCAGTATCTGTGGAGTCGTGGCCACTATTGTTGGGGGAGAGGCCTCTCTCTGAAGGCACACTCTTCTCTGGAAGGTGGATGCTTTTCTTTTCCAGCTCCTGAGGGGCACCGTTTGGCATCTCAGCCCGGGTGAGGGCTATGGGATACATGCTGCTAATAACTGGAACCATCTCGGAGGTGGGAGCAGGCGGTGTCTGGACCAAGGGGCGCAGGGCTTCGGCACCGAGATAGCTGATGGCGTTATTGATGGCTTGGTCCATCATGCGGGTCTGTATGATCTCATTCTCTTTCTCATACATATAGCTCGAATTATAGTTGACATCAAAGCAGTGGCGCTTCTCACCTGGAACAAGTGACAGAAAGCATTACAAAGGGAACATCACCGAGGCAGAGAGTATGTAAATATTTTCTAGAGACCTCAAAAAGGGAGGAAAGTTAAGTTGCCTGCTGCTCAAAAGACTAAGCCTGGCAGAATGGTTCCCCATGGTGCTGAAGTCTCAGGGGACGCTGGTCCGAAGCACCTTGTTTGGATGGTTAAAATAAAGTCAGCAGGCAGAAGGGAGGGGCAGAGATGTGGTTCAGTTGAGGCCATGTGGTAAGGTAGGCCCACTGTGCATGTCAGAGGGGAGCCCTCAAGGAAGGAGGGAAAGAAGCAGGACACTAGGATGGGGCTAAAGGGACAAGGGAGCTACTGCGGGAGTCTGGGGCTTCTGCCATAGTTCGTGATCTCTTAAGACACAGTCAACTCCCAACTCTTATTTTGTTTGTTATTTTCTGCTTGCAATATTAGGTAGCCAGGGGGACGGAAATGCTGCAAAGAGTGGGGACACTCAGTGCCTCACCTCGGCAGCTTTTTAAATAGCTGCAGAGACAGAGAAAATAGCCCCCCAGACTCCAACTGGCTACTCCCCAGACTCACCAGTCCTAGCTGACTGAAACTGAAGTGAAAGAACTTCAAATGTGGAAATTTATAGAAAAGCTTTTTTGAGAAGAGATCATGGTCTTTGTCCCTTTCCTAAAGTGTGTTTCTCTTCCTTTGTTGGCAAGTATGTCTCTGATGCACACGTGATCATTAGGGCCTATCTCACACTTAACTGAAAAAATGTACTTGTGGTCACCCTCTCCTTCTTCTCATGTAAAACTGCTGAGAGGTTTTGAAAACAGAGTTTAGCCACCTTCGGGGCGTGTGGGTGTTGTGTGTTAGAAAACAGAGGCTCTCTGGTCACAGGGAAGGCAGGGATGGGGACTGCAGTGAGGGCAGATGTGCTCAGTGGTGAGGGGTGGGGAGAGGGGAGAGAAAGCTAGGAAGGCGAGCCGAGTGCTGGAGGTGAGGCTGAGGTCACTGCTGATCCTTTCCATTCTGTCAGCTTGGATTCTGGAGAGATTTGCTAAACCATATCCTCCTGTAATGTTTCCTAGGCATGTTGAGATTCCAAAATTTGTCACTGCCATACAGCAATGAAATAAAGAAGAAAAAAAAACTGAGAAAACAAAAGGATTGGAAGAACCAGTTCCTGTTCTTGAGGCATCTCCAACTTAGTGGATGAAAAATAAGACCTATGTATATGGAACTGGAGAAAAAGTATAAGTTAAAAGTTGGCTGGGTGCGGTGGCTCATGCCTGTAATCCTAGCACTTCAGGAGGCTGAGGCAGGAGGACCACTTGAGCCCAGGAGTTTGAGACCAGCCCGGGCAACATGGAAAAACTTCGTCTCTACAAAAAAATATACATACAAAAATTAGCCAGGCACCTGTAGTCCCAGCTACTCAGGAGGCTAAGGTGGGAGGATCACCTGAGCCTGGGAAGCAGAGGTTGCAGTGAGCTGAAATGGTGCCACTGCACTCCAGCTTGGGTGGCAGAGTGAGACACTGTCTCAAAAAAAAAAAAAAAAAAAAGAAAAGAAAAGAAGTTGTAAAAGGACTGCTTTGCTCTATAGAGGTCTTTGCTTTTATTCTAAATGCCCACATTTGAGGCATTTAGACAGGAAAGTAACATGTGTTCTGTAGAAAGAATAATAAGGTAACATATAGGCACAGGCAAGACAATTTGGTATAAACTGTATATTTAGGCATTAAGGGAATGCAGAAACTTCAGAAGTACTTGGGGAAGGGAAAGCATTCTTGGAAAATCTAAATTTTGAGAAGGGTCTTGATGAACTGGTAGGATTTAGATTTTCAGAGAAGGGGGAGAGGACATCCTAGTTGAGGGGAGTGCAGGAATGAAGGCAGAGAGGCGGGACTACATGGAACATGCACAGTAAGAGTCTGAAACTAGATCAAGAAGTATGAAACACAGGATTTCCCAGGCTTCACTCTTCTTTCATATTCTGTAGTATCTATACACAGTGCAGTATGGTGGTTGAGAAAACAAACTGGAGTCAGATGGGCTGGGTTTGATGCTGGATCCATTGGTCACTGGTTGTGTGACCTTGGGCAAGTCACTTAACCTGTCTGTTCCGTGCCCTCATGTAAAGTGAAGATAATTGTATCTCCCTCACAGGGTCACTGGAAAGCGCTTAGAACAGGTCCTGCCACATGGAAAACACTTGGTAAGTGCTTGGGTTTTTTCTTTGTTTGATTTGGTTCACTTTTTTTTTCTAAAATAAATGTGGTTTTTAAGGAAACTTTATATCACTAACATAAATGGAAAACCAGAATCACTTATTTTTCAAGTAGAAGGTAACTATGAAAAATAAAGACAATGAAACAGAGCACTGGCAGGGAGCAGTGGCTCATTCCTGTAATCCCAGCACTTTGGAAGGCTGAGGTGGGAGGATCACTTGAGGTCAGGAGTTCGAGACCAGCCTGACCAACATGGAGAACCCCGTTTCTACTAAAAATACAAAATTAGCCGGGTGTGGTGGCACATGCCTGTAATCTCAGCTACTCGGGAGGCTGAGGCAGGAGAATTGCTTGAACCTAGGAGGTGGAGGTTATGGTGAGCCGAGATTGCACCTGGGCAACAAGAGCAAAATCCATCTCAAAA